TGGTTCTGGATCGATTCTAGACAAGAACAACTACAAAGAGAGACCTCTCTCTCACCTACATCCTCTGCTCTACCTTTCCTTCCTCACGAACCAACAAAACCTCGATCCTTTCTCCAAAACCACCTTAGAATCAGAATTGGAAACCTGATCTGGAAACTAGACAGAGAGAGCTATCCAACAATATGCGGACCGTCTTCTGAGTCCTTCTGGTTCGACGGAAATCCTCCCTCGAAGTGGACTGATCACAGACCCGAAACTGAAAGTTTCGCTCCGATCCGATCTGTTCTTACTGGCCGTTACTCTCCTCTTCTAAACAGGACAGAACTGCCTCCAAAGCCTCAATCAACAATCTCCTTTTCTCTCTCATAACCTACGAAAATCCTCTCTCTCCACTCTGATTTTCGCCTAAAGAAGGAGGCTGCTCGTTTATATAGCGAGCCTTAGGGTTTTCCCAACCCAAAATCGTTAACCAAACGATTTAAAATCGAACCGATCGAACCGACAAATCAAAATCGAACCAACCGGTTCAATTCAATCTTGCGTCGATTGACGCACTGCCCAAAAATCACAATTTTGGTTCACATGCGTTACATCATCAACTTGAAACTCCAACATTAAGCAACAATTTTTCTGAAAAGACAGAACCATTATGCATTAATAAATATATAATACATTTTTTTTGAAAAAATACATTTTTCACATATAACTGTCTTTTCGAAAATACGCAACCCTAGCCATAAAATATTATTTTTTGGGAAGACACAATTCTAAAATACATTAATAACTATAAAACGTATCTGTAGAAAAAAAAAACGCTAGTGGACTAAGCTGAAGAACATAATAGACGTCCATTAGATCCCAAAGAAGGCGGAAAAAAAAAACTTCCATTAGCATGTTTAGTTATCTGCCAGGGAAGACTTCCTTCTTTAACATCATAAGTGTCTCACAAGTTCACGTTGACAATGCATTAATAATTATAAAATATTTTTAGAAAATACAATTTTAGAATGTATTAATAACCATAAAATTGATCTATAATTTGAACTAAACAAGTTAAAATTTGTGATTTTTATTTTTGCACAAATATTTTTTATTATTATAAAGTAATCTAAACAAGTATGAAAACTCGTTTGAAACTTAGGTGCCGTTAAAAGAAAGTCGTATAAATAGCATAAACGTTTTAATGTGAGTTTTTTTTTAATGATTTAGGATGACATACTTTTTTTGTCAACGGATGACTTTGATTTGTGTAGTTAGAGAAACTAAGCCAGTCTTGCAAATAGGAAACGCGGATGAAAAATACTTCTTTATATGATTTTTTTTTTTTGGTAAAGAATATCTTTATAAAGAACTCCTTTCTCACATTGTTAAATATCTTTCTCACTTATTACATAATTAACTAACTGTTTAAATTTCATCTTTAACATATAGTTAACTATCTCTTACAAAAAGCATGACTACAACACATTACTGTAGAAAAACCTAATGATAGTGCTTAGTACTAGTCCAAGACCGTAATATCCGAAAAACTCAAAATAAATAAAAAATCCTTTAAGTATGATGAAGAGACATGGAAGAATTCTTAGAGAAAGAGAACTTATGAATTTGGAACACTTTAATTTTATTACTTGTTCAACTTTCTTGATGTTCTTTTATGTTATAAATGA